GACATGCTCCTGGCTACAATGAGAACCTGAAACAATCCCCTGTCATTTCACATTTCCCATCTGAGGGGGAGACTTATGGGACCCAGACATGAAAAACTGGAGTTTTTTTTGCTAAATAACAAATTAATGAGCAATTTCCAAAGCGTTCCAGCTCATATTATTCTTATTATCCAGACCAGATTATCCTAAAGCAGATCTGCAGTCCGTGTGCACAGGTATGCACTGGTYTGGTTTAAGACTGAGATATTTATGCAAATACTAATTGAAAAAAGCCTTTGCCAACGCTGAAGGGACCTTTTAAATAGTTTTGCATGGGGAAGATGTATTTTGACTAAAATTGCATCTTTCCTTCCATTCCTCACTCCTCAAATAGAAATGTTTTGGTTTGGGTGGGTTTTTTTTTAGATGAAATCTTGAAAGGAATTTGTATTAYCTAATTAGTACTTCTTTCCCCACCTCATTCTCTCAGGCTACTGGCACAGCTTGGGAAAATAAAAGTTAAATAATCTCCCTTCACCCTAAGSTAGTCCAATACCACACTGAAGGAAAWAAAAMCCCCAAACCCAGCCCCTAACCTAAAGCTCTGTAATTCCAGTGTGACATTTTGCAGCAGGGCACTGCCCAGCTGATCTAAATGTGTCCACCCATGAAAACTTGGTGGAGATTGTTGCAATATTTTGTCTGTACCTCTTAAGCCCCCTCTATTTTTGAAACAGATTTAGGAATCCCATTGGGATCAGCTTTCAGAGCTGCCCCAGTCTTTTCTTATTAAGTTGTCCCTGCATGTTTGTCAGGTGAAAGAACATTTTTAAAGATAATTTGAGTAGCAGTGGAGAACAACAGCAAGTATTTGCATGCTAAAAGGTATTACAGAAATGAAATCCAGCATGAGATTAGGGCTGGCTATTCGCCCTGAGGGTTTTAAGGGATCTGCTGATGGAGTGGTGGGGTGCAAGCTTTGAGTTATTTTGCTCTGACACGATCTCCAATTTAAATGCTTGGGTAAAGAATTCAGGGAACCACAAGCTGTGGAATTCTTCATATGATAATGCTGTAAAACAACATGTGAACATGACATGTACCGTGTTTTAGGGAGGTTTAACCTATTTTTTATGCCTAAATAAACTTGGCTTAATTGCAAATTCCCAAACCCTTCCAGAGGTTGTAGTAACATAAGGAGTACCTGGCTGTGTGTGATCTATGGGGTGTTACAGATAAATGAAAGGTTACATCAAAACATTCAAAGGGAATTTTTTTTTTGCCTTGAAACATAATAACCAGCTTTATTTAGGGGGAAAAGAGCCAGCAGCTGGGAAACTCACTSGCCTCCAGATCCCTGTTTTCCTTGGAAAACTGTTAATCTGAACTGGTCACCTCAAAGAGAGGGATTGCTTGCATTTTGCTGTTTGGCAGCAWCCAAGGATTTCAAGAAGGTGAAAATCTGAAATATCTCATAGTGATTTATCTCTGGAATAGTTCAGCTKGTCCTCAGCAATATTTATGGAAGTTAAAGGGATTTAAGGGAGAGGCCCTGAAAATGGCCACAGATGAAGAGATTTCAAACATTTCTGACCTGAGAATCAGGAAATGTTTAGGATGGACACTCTGAGCACTGCTGCATTTTAACAGGGAATTGTGACTGCCCCTCCACTGTCCCAACTCGCTGCTCTTACCTTTTCTTTCCCACTTTTCTTCCCTCCTGTCTCTCCATCCACAGCCTTCTTGAGTTTCAGYAGCTTCTCGTGCATCACTTTATCCACCTGCCCGAGACAAACACAGCAGAATCATCCTCAGCTTTCCATTCTGCCACCTCACCCCACACAATTTTCAGCAAAGAGGGGGCAGTGGGGACTCYGGGAGGAGGGGAGCTCTGTGCTAGGGCCAGTTTTTAGAGCTGGAGAAAAATATCCACAGGTAAAGCACAGGATTAGTGCCCTGTTCCTATTGTAAGCACACCTGCACTCTGATCTCTTCCTCCACTTCTTCCCGTTGCCCTCCTTTGATCAGCTCCGGGTCATGATCCTGGAGAAAATCCGATTTGGTGTCTCTGTTCTCCCAAAATACTGTTCTCCAAAAGAAAGAAAAAAAGGGGAAAAAGTTACAGAAGCCGTCGGTTTCTCCACCTGCTTCTGGAGGCAGAGAAAAGGATATCTGCAGGCAGGATTGATTCCATTCTGAGCTGGGTGAAAGTGGCAGGCTCTGGGGATTCTTACCCCGTGTGTGCTAGGATCTGTAAATCTCGAGGTGAATGCATTTCTTTTTTTTTGCCTCGGGCTGCAAAATGCCATCAGATTTGAGGAGGACAATGGGACAGCGAGGATATCACTTGGGGGTCATGAAGCTTTCTGAATTCAGAAAGGTTTGAACTTCCAGGCTTTAGTTGGATCCAAGACTGGCTGCTCTTTCTGTCCCCTACTAATTTTCAGGGCCCAATTCCACACGGAGGATTTGTAGTTTTGCATTGAGGGAATAAACAGTTCCTGCAGGTGAATAATCTTAAATTTCTGAAATGAATTCTGAAATTCTGAAATTTCACCCCCACTGAAAATGGTGAGGATGGAGGAGGATGTAGGATATCAGTGTTGTCAYTCTGGGCCATATTGTGGCCAATGCTGGCCCGATTTTATTCTGTTTAACAGCACAAGGATTAAATCTTTTCCGTGGTTCCTGCCTTGAAGGATGGGATACCCACCAGTGTCTCTTGGCTTTGGGTGACCAGAGGAAGGGGTTAATTGCCACCACAAAGTCCCCAGTCCTCCATGGCTCGATCACCCAACTCTGAGCTAAAGCTACTGGAACCTCGTAATTCCCAGGAGGAGGAAATACGGGAATGGGGGCGCTGAAATAGGAATAAAACCACACTGAGCACGTGGAAACGGGACAGAGGGAGGGGACAGTGAGTGTGACACAGCAATAACCTGCAGCTGACCCCCAGGTGGTGAAGGACACACAGAGGCTTCATTTTGGGGCATTTTCAGCAGAAATTGAAAGCCCAAAAGAGCCAAGCCCCGCCCGAGCCAGCRCCTCTGTTTTGAAGCGCTGTGCAAAGGAGAAGTCGCAAGGAGACCTAACGCCAAGGAATGGCAAATTTGTGTAACTAGTGATAAAAAAAAGGCAGTTTATGATAAAGTACCTAATGATGCCGAGGTGCAGCTCATTATTTTTGTGGAGACAAACTGCAATTTGCTTTTTAGGAAGAGAATTAAATGAAGTCTGACGAGCTCGGTGCGTATCTGAGCACACAAAGTGCCTTTTTTAATGGAAACACCTCTTTTTTTCCTACACTTCTGGAGCTAATTTGAAGGCAGACAATTCAAATCTTGCATTTCAAGGCCTGATAGCATCTTCCTAAATGACAGCTAATCTCCAGCTTGGACGTGCTAATTCAATTTCCAGGTGATTTGAAATGTCAGTTTTCCACTTTCAGACAGGCTCCTCTATGAATCTTTTTTTTTACAAGATATTCTCCCTTTTACCCCAACCTGGTGAAGGCACCACACAAAATCAAAAAGGTTTGAACATCCAAGTTTGAGTTGGATCCAAAACTGGCTGCTCTTTCCATCCCCTACAAATTTTCAGGGCCCAATTCCACRYGGAGGATTTGTAGTTTTGCACAGAGAGAATAGTTCCTGCAGGTGAATAATCTTAAATTTCCCCGCTGAAAATGGTGAGGATGGAGGAGGACGGGGGATATTTTGGTAATGAAGAAACTCCAAAATACAGAATATTTAATTCCTTTAAATTACTCGTGGCTCAGCAGAGGGCGTGACAGATGCCATGGGATATTTCAGGAGCAAAAACCAAGATTCCAACCTGGAATTCCAGCCTTGGGGAAAGGGGACGTTACACAGGAGCTATGTGAATTTTTAAACACTCTCCTGCCTGGGTCAACAGGTTGCAAGGGCTRTGTTTTCACAGGAGTGCAAGGCTTTAGATATTTATTTTTCATGGAGTGATCTGCAGATYCTTTTTTATTCTCATTTTTTCATTATTTTTTATCATTTTGTAGATTGATTAATTAGATTAATTAACACCCACTGCAGGAAGAGTCTCCCCAGCCCCTGCTTTTACCTGGCAATGAGTTATCTCAGTGTTCCACGGGGTTAGAGGTGCCCAATTTCAGCAGGGACATCCATAATTCACAGGTGGTAGATGCTCTGTTATTCTTTTCTAGACCAACAAAATGTTTCCAAGTGAATTTTGAAGGCRGGTCAGGAGGCCAAGGATGTTTTGTTTTCACTGGCTGGGCAGYGGAGTCTGGGATTTTGTTACAGGAGGGGTCAGCCAGCTCCAGGAGCTATTTCTGGGCCTGTGTGGAYGCAGGGAAATTTATGTCACCTCTTCTAAAATTATTTTGGGGTTATTTTGCTCCTAAATCAGCATCCCAGCTCTGTAGGGAGCCCCAAAATCCCCGAATTTCAGACAACAGCTCATGAACTAATATCGCAATGGGTTTATTTGAAATGTGAATCTTGAACCTCCTGGYGAAAGGATTTGATTCTTTTAAAAGCTGGGCAAAAATATAGAATATCACCACACCTTAAAGGAATATCTGGGCACATCAGGGAGCATTTGGGTTGAACTCAAATATCCTCTGTGATGCTGAGCAAGGCATAAATATCAACTGGTCCTGTGCAGAATGGGAAAAAAAGCAAATTGCTGCCTTAGCCTGCAAAAACAGCCCAGGAAGAGGGAGGGAATGACTCAGCCTTACATTTGCCCCCCATAAACTCTGGTTATTCCAGTGTGAGAGGAGATGTCGCACAAAAGTGGCCCTTCCCAACAACATGTTTTAAAAGTGTTTGAGGGTTTGGCAAATGTAGTTTAGTGATGAGAAAAACTGCCAGACACAGTTCCAGGAGGATAAAAACATCCATGAATTCCAGTTCTAGCTTGTAGAGGAGTTAAAAACACAAAGAGGAAAAGTTTGTAACTGAAATGCTTCCATTTTTGTCAAAACTAAGCTAGATTTAAAAAAAATATTTAAGTAAGCTGGGAAAACAGCACCAGTTTCAAGACAGGGGAACACTTTCTTAAAATTTGGTGTTGGAGGGTGTGACAAAACAAAAATGAATGTTGTCTGGTCAGCCATCATTTAGGGGAAATTTAATTATAAAGGGCTTGAAATCAGTCCTGAAACAAACATTTCATCATCARTTTTTGTTACTCCAATCATGTTTTAAAGATTTCTGCACCAATAAATCTGAACTTCTGAGTGAGTGCTGAGAGCAGCTGACCTATTTCAACACAGGAACAGGAAAAAAGTKTTCAGTGCAGAAAGACCAAACTCAAACCTATTTTTCCCCTGCATAATTCATTTCACTGAGATGAAACAGGGCTAAAATTAAAAATACAGGTGGTTGCTTGCACTGTTCTGGTTGGATGTTGTTGCAGATTTGATTCTGATGATCAAAGAATCCACGGTTAGATTAAAAAATAAAATAAATTTGGATGACCCCCAGGTAGTTTCGTGTTAGGGCCCTGCTGGGGATGGCAGTGCTGGTGTTTGATGTGAAAAACCCCAAAATTCAGTGTCTAAAGGGCTCAGAGCAGGTTATCCTGTTCTCTGTGAAAAAACTCCAAAATTCAGGGTTTGCCGGGCTCAAAGCACATTATCCTGCTGGGAATGGCAGTGCTGTGTTTTATTATGTGAAAAAAACTCCAAAATTCTGTATTTAGAGGGCTCAGGGCAGGTTATCCTGCTGGGAATGGCAGTGCTGGTGATTTATGGGGAAAAAAACCCCAAAATTCTGTATTTGCAGGGCTGTCAGAGCAACTTATCCTGTTCTCTGTGAAAAAACTCCAAAATTCAGGGTTTGCCGGGCTCAAAGCACATTATCCTGCTGGGAATGGCAGTGCTGGTGTTTTATGTGAAAAAAACCAAAAATTCGGTGTTTTCAGGGCTCAGAGCAGGTTATCCTCATGGGAATGATATGCTGGTGTTTTATGGGAGGAAAAAAACCCCAAAATTCTGTATTTAGAGGGCTCAGAGCAGGTTCTCCTGCTGGGAATGGCAGTGCTGGTGCTCAGACAGTTTGGGTGCCAAATCCCCCATCCCCCCTGACCCCCCTGGCTCATGACACTCGAGTTCCTTGTGAAATGYGGGATTCCCATTGGTATCACAGTAACCCCTGTGGTGTTTTTATTCCTCACTGTTCTGTTGAGGTCACAGCCAAGCCCCTTTCCTCCAAGACAAACCCCTCCTGCCTTCCTTTTGCTGCTCCATCCCTGCCTTGGGGATTTACCCCACTCCTGCCATGGCTGGTTTTGAATTCCAGGTGCCATTTCGTCCTTGGCCAGCTAAGGAAAGAAATTTGGATGGATGTGATCCTTATCTAAAGCTCCTTCAGCGGGGTTCTGATGTGGAATTTCAGAGCAGAAGAGATGAAAAGCTCCTTTTCCAGGCAGMGAGCTGCTCTGTGATTTATAATGTGTAAGAAAATCCTAATTGTTACGAGTCAGGGGTCAAGCCAAACTGCTGATGCACATTTTGGAGCTGTTCACATCTTTCTCTCCAGCCAGCTCCCATCAGGCACAAAACTTGATGCCGGTGATTTGTCAGCAGGAGGGAATAATGGAGGTTTTTCATAGGAGGAATTTCAGCAAATCACCAGCCCTGCAGAGTGCAGAGCAGAAAAGATATTTTTCTAAATTGTATCAGAATGGAATCTGTAGAAATATAGCAAAAATCCCCCATTTTCACTGGAAAAAAGTGGCTTCCATGCCAAATTCCAGGTGATTGGTAACTCACTTGTGAATCAGGGTGAGCACTGAAGATAAGCGTGGAAGAGATAAACAGAGCAGTGGAGAGKATGGAAGGGATTTAGAAAAGAACAAAATGCCCTTTCATGATTTTTATTGAGAAATCCCTGCGTTTGGGTGCTTTCTCCAGGTGAAAACCAGCTGAAAATCYGAGTTCTGTTTTAGTTTCACCAATTTTTATGAAACAAGTGCATTCATAGCTTTGTGCCTCTGCTTGAGAAGATGCTCCTCCTTTTCAAACATAAAATCAAAAATCATTTGAGTAGCTGTGGATGGTGTGAAGGAATCCGTGAACTCTTTCCATGAATTTTCCCTCACAGAGGAGACAGAACAGGTAGAATTACAGGAGCATGAAAACGTCAATGCTGAAACTTGATCCTACAGTATCATGCTTTTGAATTATTGGCTACTCTGATGTCAATTTGTTGCCCTCAGAAAATCCTAAAATGCCTTTTTTTGATATATATTGAAGCACTTTGCTTCTAGTTTGTTCCCTTTCACCCTCAGAAATGTCCCTTCCTGCATGATCAGCTCAATGATTTCAACAGATTCCTGGCAAGAATTGAGGTACTGACAGACTCCCTTCCTGAATTTTTTAAAATAATTTTTTAAAACCATTTTTARATCCAACATCCTCATTTTAAAATGTTCCACAGTTTGGTCAGCTGCCCACTATAGGAATGACACTCAGATTAAGGTGATCTGGCAGAACGTTCCAGGTGGAATTATCGTTTCCTACTGACCTTTGTAGTGGCTGCTTCCTTCCTCCAGTATCGGAAGGTAATTACTTGCACCCATTTTCCAGGCTTGGACTGCTGGCTGGATCGGGGGAAAAAGTGAAAAGAAGAATTGTTGACAGCTTCGTTTCATAAAATTATGGAATGGATTGGAAAATACCTGAAAAATCTAATTCCACCCCCAGGGATACCTTCCACAAGACCAGGTTGCTCCATGACAGAAAAGGTGCTGAAGTCACAAAATTAAACAAGAATTAAACTTTTTTGAAAATGTAATTTAGGTAGGAGATTTGCAATATTTAAATGGAATAATTTTGCCATTTTTTTCATTTCAGTTAATTTTTTTTCAGGCTTTTGCTGCCACTGCCACATTCCTGAAACAGTTTAATTTCATTGAACCAATTTCTGAGAGAAGAACTTGCCAGAAAATCATCCAAGTTTCTTCACATCACATCAGCCATCAGTCTCAAAATGTGAATGAGGTGATAATTGGCAATGGGAGATTGGATCACTCTCAGGGGAGGAGATGAATGTGGATTTATACAAAACAGCACAAGGTGGATCAGGATTTTGCTAAATAACCTTTAAACCACTTGTTAAAATCGAGATRGAAAGTGCAGCTCCTGGCAAAACTAAAACATTAAACAACCCCCTGGAATTAGGGGCATTTCTGYTACCTGTAGGTGCAGTTGTAGTCCCCTTATGGGAGTTATTAAATATCTCTTATTAATGAAAATATTATTACAGTAATTACAGTTTGGTCCCAGAAATACAGGAAAAATCTAAATCTTAAAAATCTAAAATCTAAATCTTGACTTTGGGAGTTTGTTGACTGAACATCAAGAACTGTTTTGGTAAGGGATAAGGAAAAGTTTAAGGCTTTGAGTTCAAATCCCCAGTTACTCAAATGTATTCCCAGTTTTATAGAGTGGGGCACTTGGAGATTCATCCTTGGATGGTTTGCAGTTGGCAGAATCTTTCTTTTACCATTTTTCCATGACATTTTATAGAAAATGATTAAACCATGATGTTCTGAGAGGAAATGTGTCAACTATTAAAAAACCTGACCAAAAAATTGCCCCCAAACCAGGCTAAAAACGGTTTATTCATTTTTAGCCTTTTAATAGCCCAGCACTCATCAACATTTTATTGTTATAAATAAGCCAATGAATCATTTGAGTTATTTGCTTCAGTGATTTTATACACTGATATAAATAATACCATTGTGTCAATTTAATTGATTTTAATCAAACCCCCTGCCTTGTGTCTAAAGGACAGTTACAGGATGCTGCTCTGGTTTCCCCCTTCCTTCAAACAGCCTAAATGTCAATAAAATAAAAAGATCTTTTCCTTCAAAGCCATTTTATGTAATTTTTTGATTTTCAGTTGATTGAGTCCATACTAATTCTGTCTTAAATGTGTTAAGGCACCTCAAACCAGCAATATATGTTTGGATTTTAGCTTAAACATGGAAATAAAAGTCTGAATTTATTTCCAAGGCCTATCCCACACCTGGTGATTCCCATTCAGCCGCAGAGAAAACTGAATTGACTCCACTGTGCACATTCCCTGGAGACATTTTACTAACAGGTTTCACTAAGGGCAAGAATGTGTCTCCCAATGAGACATTTTGGGGTGAATTTCAGGGATGTTACAGGTTCCTGGGTGAGGCAGCCCAGCCTGGCTCTGATTTTGGAAAGTGGGATGAAGTCCTGGATTGGTTTGKTTTTTTTTTCTTGGGTGCCTAATGGGAAATCAAATCAGCACCTTGCAGAGGAAAGAAAGYGAAGTCACTTTGATATCAAATACTCTCTGCAAAGATTGCTATCAGCTTTTCAGAAATACTTGAATTTCCTTCTGGGATCAAACTTTTGTTTTCTTTCAGGGCTGAAGTTGGGAGYAGAGCTTTTTTCTGCCTGCATCCCCATGACTTACAGCCTATACTTATTTTAATAAGAGTCCTGCTGTTAGAACTTCCCCAAATATTTCTCAACCAGTCTAAGATACAATTTTTTCCCCCTGCCGGTGCTATAACCTTGGAGAGAATGTTCCCTTTGTTCTTTCTCAATGAACCATAGAGAACCTGATCCAATGGCTGAGAATTTTCCTTGACAGGACTCGTGATGGCTGAAGAGATGGGAATGACATGAAGTTACAAAACCCCAGAGCTCCACGCTGTTATTTCACCCCATTTCCAAACAGCCTCGCAGAGGCCTCGAGGGAATTGAGACACATTCTTGCTGCTGTTGGTTCTTATCTCCAAAAATGTGCAAAACCAAGGAGGAATTGAGTTTTACCCTGTGGAAGTTGGGTTTTTGAGCAGATGGGTGAGGTGTCACCCAATTTCAGGGGCTTCACCCAACAAGCTGGTCACAGTAACAAGAGACTGAAGAAATGTGCGACCAAAACTTAAAAACATCTCCTGTTTGCATAGGAGCAGCCACTACCCTTCCTAATCAGCAAAGTTAATAAACCAAGCTTAAAGAACTTGRAAAACATTTATTTGCTCCTCAAACCRGCTGTGTATTTTCATTTACAAAGTGAAAAAACCCCAAAACTACCCCWAACAGCGTTTTCAAGCTACTCATTTCCAAGTTAATATTTAGGTATCTACCTTCCAATTAAATTGACTGATGCTTCCTAAATTCGTGTAATTTAGGTTCCTGGCTAAATGTTCTGAGAGTTTTGGCCRGATTAATGGATGTTGTCCAAGAAAAGCATATTTTTTTGGGATATATGTTTGTTCTAGGGGTAAGGCCTTCAAATTAATTCATGTAAAACTTGCAGTGAGGAGCGAGCTTTGCCCTGGAAAACTCACCCTTCTCCTCCACATACTTAGGGAGAGATTAATGACCCTTATTAAAAAAATGGATATTGTTTCAGCTTTTGTTYATACTACAGTGAAAATGACCAACAAAATGAAAATGAGAAAATGAAGAAATGAAGTGAAAATGAGAAACAAAAGCTGCTGCTTCAGCAAAAGCCCCCAATTTTTGTGGCACAGCTTCTTTGGGAGGTGCCCTGTGGCCATTGTGCTATTCTGCAGGTGCTCTGCTCTATGAAGTTGCTCCTGAAATAATTTGGAAGTGTCTCTTCAGCCCTTTGCATCAATGATTTTGAGGGGTTTATTGTGTATTTAGTGATGGCTGCTGACAGTGGAAGCAAAAATATTTGGAGAATGTGGGCTGAAAATGCGTGGCTGAGTTAGAAATTTATGAAATGCTGGTTACTGTGGTTTAAAAATCACATTGAAATCCACAAGAGCTCTGAGATGGGGATCTGAGTGAGACTAAGGCTCTGAATTCTGAATTCTGCAASGGGAGGCAGCAATGAACTCCTCTGTACCCACATGAGAAGTGGGAATGTTTGGTTATGGCTTGGTTACCTCTGTGACTGTCCTGCAACGACCTCAAAACCCTGAAGTGTATTTTTTTCCCCTCATTTATGTCCCTGCACTTACATCAGCTCTTCCCACCAAGCTCAATCACAGCCATTCCCAAAATATGGGAGGTGAAAAGTTCCCCAAAATCACCAAGGTCATGGAAAGGCTGAGAGGGACCAACCCCAGCCAGTTTTTTGTTGCCTGATCCCGAGCCTGGAGCTTTGGTGACCAATTTAATGTCACTTAACAGCCTCTGCCCACACCTGAGCTTTATCTCTGGCTTCACAACCTGCTTTTACTGCCTTACTTGCTTTCCACCTTTTTGTGCCTTTTTTGACTCTTCTTTGTCTTTTTTTTGCTTGAACTTCTTGTCTTTTTTCTTTTGTTCCTTTTTGGCCACCAGTTCTGCAGCGAGCTGAAAGACACAGGGAGAGATGTGACTGGGAAAACACAAAATCCAACAGGCTGCACACTCTGAATTCCAGAGCATCCCAGAGAAGTCTTTTTGTGCTGATGATCCCAATACACCACCAGGAAATGGCTGATTTATTTCTCCCAAACTTTTATGGAGTAACACCAACTCCTGCAGCCAGCCAGAAGCACAAAATTCTAATGTTCCACAACTCTAAATTCCCTCTGGACTGGGACTCAGATTAGGAATTTGTCCTGGCGTTTCTAAGGCAGATTGATTTTGACAGGGATGGGTTTGAGAGGCCGCCCCGAGGTGTGTCTCATTTCAATATGTGGCTAAAGACTGGAATTATTCTGGTGGGTGAGGGAGGCTGATGGAGATATTGTGACAAATTTGTGACAGATAACGCAGGGATAGCTCAGCATCCTTATCCCTGCAAGCAAGAAGCAGCTGAAAACCGGGTACAGCTCCATCAATTCCCAAATCTTTAGTTCCTGGCCTTTTATACTTTATTATCTGAAAAAAACCGGAGGGTGAAAATTTGCTGCTTCCACCATTCTCTTGCTTCCAGGCAGCTTTCTTGTCCCTGAGAGGAATTCTAAGATCATTTACTGATGAGTCTAAATCARAAAATCCACTTAAGTTTATTAACAGACCGCTAATACTGGCACTAACATGAAAGAGTAGAAAATAAAACATTTCCAGCTGTAAGATTGTGACAGTGAAAACATTTGTTTTCTCAAGTTATCCCTTTGAATGCAGTGAGCACCGGATGCTGGAAGGGGACAATGACCAGGCCAGTTTCATCAGTGGCTCTCCCCAAGCATTTCAGTATCTTACATTTAATTAAATATGGTAATTCAAGCCCCGAGTGCCGCTCAGCCACATCTTGCAGTGATAAGCAGYGAAGCATTTCATTCCCTAGGACAGATTAACAGATTGACTGCAGTTCAAAATGGGTTTTTAGTGTCCCAGCAGGCCTGTGGTATCCAAAAGCAACAGAGCTGCTCYGAGTGGATCCTTTACTGCAGTGCTCCCACCCAGCCAGAAACGCAACCCTGTCACCCCCACCTCTGCTCTGCTCTGCTTGCTGAGGGTAACCAGAACCATTCCCAGCTTCTCAGGGGTGGGATATCCAGGGGATACCTGGAAACACACATCTGATTGACAAAAGGTTTCAATTTGTGCATTTGCCTTCTGCAGGCGGTGCTTTGTAAGCGCCTCCAGACCCGAGTGGAGCGATTGGCTTTCGTGTTTTAGTGCAGATGAATGAGACTGGAAGGGGTTAGACAGAGTTTCTGTTCTCATGGACCTGCTGGGATGGCACTGAGCAGCTGAAATTCCCTCTCCTCCTGCCTGACCCTCTCCAGCTCTGCTCCAGAGTGCTGGGAGCTGAGGGGGAGCTGGCAGTGCACCTTTATTGGGTCTGACACAACCTTTCTTGACTGAACATCAAGAACGTTTTTGGTAAAGGATAAGGAAAAKTTCAAGGATTTGAGCTCGAATACCCAGTTACTCAAATGTATTCCCAGTTTCTGCTCCTTTCTACAGAACCACTTCTCCTCCAGCTGCAAGGAGAGTCCTGAACAGTCTGGCAAAATGGGAGGAAAGAAAGGAAATGGCAAGCAAAGGTTAGGTTGAGACAGGAGAGAATTCACCCACATTTGAGAACAGTTTTTTTGCCCTGGAGAAAACTTTAAACTGGAAAGAGAAGCAGATTCTTCCTAAATTGCTTTAGCCTTTGCTTTTCTTTGCTAGGTTGCCTATTTTGGAAATGATGCAGAAAGCAATTAGCAAATTCTTAAYACTGAGCAAGAGACTGTGTTTCAGTGAGAGCAGATGAATTTTAGCTCTCTGAATTTTCCCAGTCTTTCCTAGGACTCCTGTTGAGCCAGTGATGARTCTTCTCCAGCAACATTTTCTTCAGAGGCTGAAAAGACATTTCCCTTTAAACTGATATCCCATAAAAGGTGAATGGACTTTTCTATTCCTATATCAGTTCAACCCTGGGCTTTTTTTTTTTTTTTTTTTTTTTTTTTTTTTTTTTTTT